CCCTCACGCCGCCCTCACCTCGTCTCCTCCTTCTTGTGCTCCATCTCTGCCTCCAGCTGCTGCTTGCGGAGCTGCGTCTCCTTCTCCCGCCGCAGCCGCTTCTCCAGCAGCGCCGCCCGCTTCAGCGCCATGTCGTCCTCTGCCTTCTGGTCGTCCTGGAACACGTTTCGTTGAAAACAGGGAGAGGCGTTAGGTAGCAATGTTCTCAACGTCAATTTTTATAACTGAAAATCGGAAATACCGACTCAACCTCATTCCAACCCCACCCGTCCATGGAACGTTCCAGGCGTTTTGAGGGAAGAAATGAATGGAAACGCTACATTCTTTCAAGGAACAAAGGACACAGACTTACTTGTTCCTAAACCTGGGAAGTTAGCAAAGTCCAACCGACCAGGAAAAGGAAAGGAAGGGCTGAGGTGTGCCTTTTGGGTCCAAATAAATAACTCAAGTGGGGAGGTGTCCCCCGTGTTGAGAGCGGCATTTAAACACACGCTCCACAGAGAACCGCAGGTCACAGCCCTGACAGCAGCTCCCAAGGTCACACCCAAGAGAAAGCACCGCTGCACTTCCAGGTGGGGTCCTGAGGAAGGGCAGGCTCCACACTGGGGATCGAGCCCGCAACCCGGGCCTGTGCCCTAACCGGGAATCGAACCGTGACCTCCTGGTTCCTAGGTCGACGCTCAACCCGAGCCACGGTGGCCGGGCTGACAGCTCACGTGTAAGTGAGGGAGGCAGAGGTACAAGGTCAGCACCTCCAGATGTGCACCGTGACCGTGTGCATCGTGACCGTGTGCACCGTGACCGTGTGCATCGTGACCGTGAACACCGTGACCGTGTGCACCGTGACCGTGTGCACCGTGACCGTGTGCACCGTGGCCGTGTGCACCGTGGCCGTGTGCACCGTGACCGTGAGCACTGTGACGAGAATGTTCTAGAAATCAGTGGGCTGCGTGTGCTGCCGTGCCCTGGGGGAGCAAGCCCGTGCTGGGGCTCGGGGCTGGTGGGCTGG